ATATCCCACTCAGATTTTCTGTCCATTTGCTCGCTCTCTCTGTCCATCAGAAGGTGAATTTTTCATCTGGGTTTTAATTAATTTTTTTGTTGAAAGTGCAAATTTGCAATGTTTTAATTTTGAAATTCTGTATATATTTTCAGGATTCTTGAAATCCATCGCTCTGTGATGAAGAAGACACATCACACCAGCAAACCGAGCGAAGAGCTGATCAGACCAGCAACATGGCGAAAGAAAAGTGGAAGAAGCAAACCGAATTAACGACGTTTTAATTGTGAAGGAGACGACGTCGTTTAGTTATATGTTTTAAATTGTAAAAGTGCATACGTTTTTTGTGAAGAAACACGTTATTTCCTTTACTTTAGCATAGGGGGGAAGGGTTTTTAATTGTGAAGGAGACGACGTCGTTTAGTTATATGTTTTAAATTGTAAAAGTGCATACGTTTTTTGTTAAGAAACACGTTTTTTCCTTTACTTTAGCAGAGGGGGGGAAGGAGCGAAAATCAGTTGGAATTTGTCAGATTTGATCACTCCCTTCGTCCCTCTCTCACTCTCTGCTCTCTCTCAAACAGCGAAAACCAAACCCTTCGACCTTCGTCCCTCTCTGAGTCTCAGCTCTCTCTCTCTCTCTCTCTCTCTGACTCTCTCAAACCCGAAACGGCGAAACCCTTCGCCCACCGTCCGCCGAACGCCGTCTGTGACTGTGAGAAAGGTAATTTTTTTTTGGTTTTTTTACTTAATGTTGATACGAACTTGGAGCTGTAGTCTGTAGATATCAAGGGTTCCATTGGAGGTTTTTTTTTCTTTTAATTGAGATTGNTTCTTTTAATTGAGATTGGTTTGCCATGTGGTCTATAGTTGCCGCCTGTGGGTTTTAAATTGGGGTTTGAATTTATAATGGGGCCTGTGTGATTTTCTTTTATAAAACCTTAAGATTGTGTGGAGTTAGGTGATTTTGTGTGGACTGTGGACCATGTGGTGTCTTCGTCTACTGGAATGTGGGGATTGAATTTGTGTGTGTTTATATGCTCTGGTACAGCCTTACTGCCTTACTAATATTACTCTTCAATTTTGTAATAATCACTGTTTTACATTTCCAGAACCAGGAACGGATCCTTTTGCCTTACCAATAGGTTGCTGAACTTGAAACAAGCAGCAAAAGTTGGTGCCTGACTGCCTTGCCAAGGTTTAATTCCCAGCCTTCTCAAATATACTTTTCTGTTCAATTATCATTTAGTTTTTGAATTGAATTTGGAAGTGTGTAAATTAATCTGCTTTGGAAATTGATAGCAAAATCTGGTTTTGTTTCTGATTTGCACAACATTGGAAATCAATGTACTGGTTATACCTCATAGAAAATGCATTTTGTGCTTGCCAGCTAGTTTAATCATACTGCTACACAATCTGGTTTTGTTTCTGATTTGCTAAAATGATAATATGCTATGTAATTTGCAGTTGTGCTTTAGGATTTAGCCATTTAGGCTTTTTTTTAGGAAATGTTAGTTTGGAAATTTAGCCAATAGCAATTTATATAGGAATTTATAGGATATTGAAGTGTTTTTGATATTTATGCTCTTAGGTTTAATATGGAGGAAGATTGACCTTCTTCCAAGAAATGAAGAATTTTGTTATCTTTCTTTTCAAAGAG